TCTGACCCCTTCTCCCCACCACCCTACTCCAGCAGTGACTTCCTCTGCTAATTGTATAATCGCACAAAGATGAGACCACATGTAGTGGACATTCACCTGCAGTCTTATGTGATCCTTCCTGATCTTCTTCCTTTGGAGAACTGCTTCTCCTCACTCTAAAGAACCAAATGGTACTGGTATGGGCTGCCAATCACTGTACCCCATCACCCTATCCTATTGGTTGGGTCCACCGCTGGGCTAACCTTAGTCCTCCAACCCCAGCTACAGTGATTGGGCTTCATGCAGACATATGTCAGGCCAATCAGGATCTTTCCAAAAGATTTTTCAGCCTGGGCTGATTGGCTAGAGCTCCCTTTATCCTCTGGTCAGGGGCTGTGAAGATGAAGCCCAGAAGAGTCTGAGGCCATGTTCTAAGCCCACGGGAAAAGCCCGCAACATTCACGATCAATCATCCAAAGGCCAGTTTCCGAATCCACCCCAAAGTTTTAGAATATTATACAGTAGATTTCTTTCCTGCCTAATACAGTTTGAGCTACGTTTCTGTCACTTTCAATAAAGATGCCCTGACTTAATACACAGAGGGATAAATAAAATCAGCCTCTCTCTTAGAAACCTCTTGTTGACCATTACTATCAAGCTCCTCCATCGCTTCCTCTCAATAATACACTTAAAAGAACCAAAAGAAAAACTACAGTGGTTGGAGCCTTTACTTACATCTATGTCCCTGTTGACCCTCTAGGGCAGAGTGGACAAAGAAAAGGTGGCTGGTATCCAAAAGAGTAGGGAGAGAACAAAAGGCCCAGATAACCTCTAATGAATAATAAATAATCCACATCTGAGAGTCAGCAGCAAACCGCACTCGTCCTGCTGGAAAAGCCTGGCAGAGTTATTCCTTAAAAAAAATAAAATTCGTCCAGCTTTAACTTCTAACAAGTGCACAATGCCTAAATTCCAAGTGACATGCAAACTCCTGGCTCAGCCTAGCCATCATGGTCCTCCAGATCACCTCTGCATCCCATCCACCCAGAGCCAATGCCAATGTCCAGCTCTACTCAGGCTGGTCTAATTTCTACAACCTGAAAACATACCGCTCCTCTCATGGCGAGGCCCCTGCTCTCGTCGTATCTACTCTTATTGTGCCCAGAACGTCCTCCTCCTTTCCCTCTGCGCACTTGCAGCACCTCTTCAACACCTAGCTCAAGCCCCAGTTCCTCCATGAAGCTTTCCTCGGCTTCTCCAGCAGACGATACTGTCTCCAATCTCTTAACTCTGGTAAAGCCAAGTCAGCCAGCTCACTAGGAAACTAAAGAGAGGCATGGAGGGGACAAGAAAGACACATTCAGCTCTGACCACACAGTGGACAGGGGCCAGAGGGCAATCATCAACTTCTGCCACTTCTGCCCCATAATAGAGGTCCAGCGTGGATTGGTTTGGGGAGCCCTCCACATTTAGATGGTAATTAGAGCCAGGAGGCAGGGATGCGAGTGTCTGGGGAAAGCGTATAGCATGCAGAGTTTTAAAAGGAGGAAAAGCCTGCTTGCAGGTCTATCACTCAACTGATCTATCTCACAATGTCACTCTCCTGAGTGTCCCATTCCTCCAAAGAGGCAGTGAGCTGCAGGCTGGAATTACATCCTACACATCCCTGTCTCTGTCCCCCCCCGCTGGACCAAGCAGAGGACCAGGCACTTGAGTCCTCCCGAGTCACATTCTGCCCTCCCAGTGGCTGAGGCGGGCAGCCTAGCATCCCCAGCCCCATCTCACAGATGAAGAAGCTGAGGCTCCCAGCCAGGAAGGGGCTCTCACTCCAGAGGCAGGTAGTCAAGGACCCTCAAGTGAGAAAACTCAGATGTTAGTAACTAAATCAAAGAGGAAAAACAAAGGATCCTGGTACAACTGTGGCCCTGAGTCATCCAGGGAAGAACAAGAGTTCCATCCTCTCACCACCACCAGCCAGGGCAAAGGTGACCACTTCTTCCTTACAGATCCAGGATTGGGACAAGGAAAGGCTACATAAGTCCACAGAGTTCCCCAATGCAGGAAATGGCCTGCAATTGTAAGGGGAAGGCCTAATCAGGCCACAGGAAAAAATGCCAAGACAGAATCAGGAGCGTGGGGCTTAGCCTCGACTCCCGGCTGCTTTCTACCCTATCCTCACACCTCACAGACAGGGGAACGGAACCCAGCATAAGGCAGAGATGACACCACTCATCTCCTGGGGTTGCCACACAATTAAGCGAGATATTAAGTATAAGACACAAAATGCCCAACAGCAATGTTATCATCAATCCTAGTACAGAAGTCCCTCTACCCCCTAAAACAAAACGGCACTGTACTTTCTTGTTCCCTTCATACTCCAGGCCTGAGAACGGTGGGTTATAAACATCTGGTTATAAACAACACGAGCAGAAGAGACTGCTCTGGTTTGGTTTGCTCACTTGCCCAGTACTACCTAGGACAGCTTCCTCCCCGTTCCAGACCCCAGGGAAGGGGCTGCTGGACATCATGTGCCTGCAGTACAGCAAACTCCCACAGCAGAGAGTGCCAGCCAGGGGATGGGCCTTCTGGAGCAGGGCCCCACACGGGGTGTGGAATCCACCAAGGTGATGGTGGCACCTCCTATGCAGAGTTGGTGACAAAGGGGCCTCCCCTTGATGCTATGCATCCTCAGGAAGCCAACTGGTTCCTCTCTCAGGTTCCCACAAGGGCCTTGCACTAAAGCCCACTTACAGACAGAGCTGTGGACCTGCCTGCAGAGTGGAAACCGCTGGAGAGAGCAAGGAGGCAGGACACAGTGCTGGGTTTCCCTGACTTTGGCTTCTTGGAGATGAGACAGGTGTTTCCACCCCTTCAACCACAGCAGCTCTATCATGCACTGCTTCCTGGCTAAGAGAAAAAATAAGTTGGCAAACCCCTGCACAGTAGTTCTTACTTTACAAAGGCCCCAACACTCTATCGCTTACTTACACATCACATCACCCTCTCCCCCAGAAGCTCTAGATGGCATCTTGCCGTATCAAACGCTGTCCTAATTTTTTTCTAAAGTATTAGCTAAAACAAACTTAAATTCCCCTTTGAAAATTATTTTCCTGAGGAGTTCATGATCCTCTGGCAAAGTTACAGAACTCTGCATTGTGATAAACCTAGAGTCTGAAACCACTGCCCTGAGGGATAAAATCCAAACCCTATTCCATCCCTTCCTTGAAGGTCAGGACCAGCTCCTGGAACTTTGACCCTGTGAGGCCCCACCTTGTCCACCAGGAATGAAAAGGGGAGGGACCTAATTAATGGCAATTTGTCCATCTATTCCAGAGATTAAAGCTAGCACTGATTCAAACACATCCCAATGAGGACTTGAGTCTGCACTCCAACTTCTGCGCTTCCTTGATAAACTTTCTCCTTCCAAGACAGACAGATGGATAGACAGACAGATAAAAGCAATTAAAAGAAAAAAAATTACCCCAGTGAGATTTCCCTCTGTCCTTATCCTCATGGCCACATCTGACAGCCCTTCTTAGCATCTTCCAAAGCACCATCCCAGGAGAGAATTGAGTTTGCCCAGAAACTCATATATAATCACAACTAGGGGACAGAAGGCAGGTGTGAGGGGCATAAATGCTAGAGTTGGAAACTCAAAGTGGAGACAGACGGGCCACCAAAGAAATGATGGGCTGCAGGCCAGAAGTTTAGGCTCTGTATGTCAGTTTCCTTCCCTATAAAAAGTGAGGTTGAGATGGCCAATATACACTGGAGCTGTTACCCGGAACAGCTTATAAAATCATCCCCTTAACAAGTGAGGCTTTTAACAGCCAAATAAACAGGTCTCATAGCCTTTGGCCTACAAGTTGCTAAGCACAGTCTGTCAGCCCTCTCGGATGGCTCTTAAAACAAGGAGAAGACGTTAAAAAGGTGGCAGTTGCTGCGTCCTGCCTCAAAATGTGTTCAATAAAACAATAAGTCATAATTGAAAACTCCTGGTTTTCAGTACTTTGAGCATTTTAACCACTCCAAGCCGGAGTTTTCTCTCTGGCGAAGTACGAATAATAGACAGCTCAGAGCGGTAACAAGTAAATGTGATAAAATGCAGGCGTGCCACAACAGTAGGTGCCTAATAAATGCTGGCTCTCTTCCTTCCTCAGTGGTAAGCCTTCTCCCTCAAGCTTCCTTCTCTAAAAGGCTGGCTTTCCACACTCCCCAACCATGCCAGGCCAAGACTACCACCTGTCACAAACTCCCAGCAGTACCCCCCCCCCCACACACACACACACACTCACAAACCCATCACCCACCACCCAAGGGAACCAGCCACCACTTTCCCCCCTCAGGCAGCTCAGTACCGTCAGGGAGGGATCTGAGCCCCAGCAGCCACTACTAGGATTTTCCCATGGTGCAATGCAACTTCCCCAACTTTTCCGGGTCCATAGTTTCCAAAGAAACCTACCAGGCACTGTGCATAATCAACCACAAGTCTGAGTGAGCACACAGATTTGAGCTCTGGGCAGAGGGAGATGTGAGAGCCACAAAGTGAAAAGACACCAGTGGTCCTGCAAGGAGAAGACAGGGCCCAAAACTCAGGAATACCAGTCCTGGCGTTGGTTCCATTCTTCTAGACTGGGTCATTGATTAAAGGCTAGCAGAGGCTCCCAAAGGCCTGGCGGATGGTAAAGAGCCTTAAAAAAGGGACTGACGGACATCCCTCCGAGGTCGCCGCGCGGCTGGACCTAGTGGTCTCGGGAGGACCCTGCTGCCGTGGCACCTGGGAGGGTCAAGGCCTGCAGTGCCGGGCATTGTTCACAGCAACGGCCGGACTGCGGGAGGGAGGAGGTGTGAAGCAGGGGTCCACGCATCACCCTCTCGCCCCGAGACGGGCTAAAGGAGGGAAGGTTCCACGCGTGGCCAGCGCCAGGTAGACTGATGGCCCTCGTGCGTTCCCCCTCGGAGAGCTGGAGAGAGAAGTCGTGGACGGCAGGTCCGAGAGGCCGGGGCAGGGTGGCACTCACCGGCGCCCTCGGCGGGCTGCGGCGGTCCGGCGACGCCGTTCAGGTAGAGAATGGGCAGCAGGTGAGGCTGCGTCTTCTCCAGCGCCGCCCGCAGGTCCTGGAAGTGGTCCCGCTCCTTGGCCAGGAGTAGCTTGAGCAGCAGCTCCGCCTTGGCGCCTCCCGCCTCCTCGTCCAGCTGCCGCCGCTCGCCGGGGCTCAGCGCTCCGGCGGCCTCGAGCAGCCCGAGCACCGCCTCCACCTCCGTCATGGCCTGGGCCAGGCTCTGCTGGCACTGGGCGAGCAGCTCCCGGCGCTGGGGCTCCATGGTGGCGGGCCGCCCCGCCCCGCCCCGCCGGACGGCTCCGGGGCTCGAGGCCGGCGGGCGCGCGGGCGGGCTGCGGCGGCGAGAGGCCCCGCGGCGCCTCGGGGCGGCGAGCGCCCGGCTGCGGCCCTAGCGCACTGGGGGCCGCGCAGCGCCGGGGGCCATGGGCCGCGGCCTGGGCGGGCTGGGGGCCCGGGCGGCGAGCGGCGCTCAGCAGCGGCCGCCTCCCGGGCTCAGGAGCGCAGCCATGTTGGCTGCAGCGGCGGCGGGACTGAAGAGGAGGAGGAGGAGACGGAGGAGGAGAAGGAGGAGGCGGAGGTGGGGACGGCGGCCGGGGCGCGCCCCAAGGCCCGGCTCCAGCCGGGCATGCTCCCCCGCCCCTCCGCGCCGCCGCCGCTCCCTCCCCGGCCCCGCGAGACAACTCGCCCCGAAACCCCGGCCCCGGCGCCGCCCCCAGCCAAGATCCCAGCGCCGCGGGGAAAGCGGCCAGGCCGGGTGCGCCAGGCCCCCGACGGCTCCGACCCGGCTCGGCGGCCGCCTCGGCTCGGCCCGGCCCGTGCGCCCCGGTCCGGTTCACCGGGGCCCCGCGGCGCCGCCCGCTCCGCCGTGGCCCGAGCCCCGCCCCGCCGCCCTCTCCCCTCCGCCCGGCCCTCCCTCAAGCGCCAGGGCGGCCGGCCCTCAGGGGATGGGCGAAGGGGAGGGGTCCCCGCCCCCGGCCCGCCTGGAGGCGGGGACGGCGCGCTCGCCTGCTCTGCGGGTCCCCGAGGCCCAAGCGCCGCCGGGCATGGGGCACACGGAGCTGGGGGCCCCGCGGGAAGCTCCCAAGCTATTGGAGACCCCCTCAAGCAAAGCCCTGCCCCCAATCCAGGAACTCTTTTATAAAGAATTTCCCAGTATAATCTCCTGAGACTCAGTTAATCAGGATCTTTCCCCTCACCCCCATTTTAGGTGAGTTGGTCCTGAGTCTAAAGAGCATTGGATGTTGAGGGGAGGAGGGGATGTGTTGCTGGATGAGGAGGAGAGGTGGGGGTCTGCAGTGGAGCCGTCGATGTTTTTGGCAGGAGAGGTGCCCTCCTCCCTATATGGCACTCTCAGATTCTAGCTAGTCTCGAGAAGGTAAATCAATGGGCTATGGAAACCTTGCCTCCCTGATGCGCTCAATGAGGATCTTCAGTTCGGATCCAAGTCCAAGAACGTCTGCCTTCCATCACAGCCCTTTGTGGACACTTACCTCCCGACTGCAGGAGGAGGTCCTTCGAAGCTAGAATCAACGGGTCGCTCTCAGTAACCCCACCGCGCTAGTGTCGAGAGGGATCCCAGCGCCATTGCAGACGTCTGTGCTGGAATGAGTGAAGCTTGTTTACAAGCACTGGGGCCACAGGTGCTTTTTCTACTGACGCTGTCACTCCCCCCCCCCGACACACCCTCCCCCCGCCCCCCCCCCCCCCCCCCCGACAACTCCTCTCCTCCAGCCAAAAGCAAAGCTTACTACAAGATTCTGCTTCTTTAAGGAGAGGAGTCGCTTTTATTTAATGGAAACAAACTCGATATAGTGGTTAAAACAAGAGTACCAGAATTTGCACTTCAGTTTTGAATTTCCCTGTAAATAGCTGCACAAGCTGGGAGCAAATCAATTACCCCGACTGATCTCAGTTTTCTCAGGAAAACCGGGTGGAGAGAGTATATTCTTTCAGGCGTTGTTGTCCTTGAGTTCGTGAATAAGCTCCAGGGTATCAGTGAAGCTTTTGAAATTATCTGAACCTTTTTGTGGATGTGTATTATTTTTCTGGGATGGAGGTCCATAGCTTTCATCAAACTCTTAAGGCCTCCATGACCCAAATGGCGGAACTAAACTCTTTTAAGAACTAAACCCTGCTCAGATAGTCCGGGCTTCTGTGGCTGGGCAAGGTTCTAAGGGAGGGTAAGGCTGGCTATTGGACAGTGCCAGGGATCTAGACAGGCTCTCTAGCTGTCCCGCCCCCTCCTCCCTCTGAGAGATGGTTCCCCCTTCTGGCCACCATTTCCTCTACAGCAAGTGCAGAGCCTAAATCACCCACAGAGGCATCCACCCTTAACGTGGACCTCTGTTCTTAGCTGGATTAACCAGAAATCTAGGGTGTGGAAGAACAGGAGAGGAGAAGTTGTAGGTTAATTTGGTTTATGGTTGGAATCAACTGTGGGTAAATCCCGGATCCAAAGGCTGCCTGAGACAGGAAGGGGCAGGAGGGAGCCATGGTCTCCCAGTAACTTCTTTTTTTTTTTTTTTTTGAGGAAGATTAGCCCTGAGCTAACATCTGCTGCCAATCCTCCTCTTTTTGCTGACGAAGACTGGCCCTGAGCTAACATCCATGCCTGTCTTCCTCCACTTTATATGTGGAACACCTACCACAGCATAGCTTGCCAAGTGGTGCCATGTCCACACCCGGGATCCGAAGCAGCGAACCCTGGGCCACCAAAGCAGAACGTGCACACTTAACTGCTGCGCTACCGGGCCGGCCCCTCCCAGTAACTTCTAAAAGGATGGTGGGGGACATGTGTGTTTCACCCCTGGAAGCCTTCTCCGGAACCAGTGAGGAAGCCCATTTGCTAAGAGTGCTTTCTCCCAGGGGCTGTACAGTGACAGACATTACTTTCAGCAAACCCATTATTGGAAACTCTGGGGTTTTATCAAAACATAAATTCTAAAGGAAATCATTTACTTTATAAACACATTCAACTTTAGGATTCCTTTAACCTGTCACCTTGGTGTGACCTTGTATTTCTGTAGCATTTTATACCTGTTAGGGCACATTCCCACACACTATCTCCTTTGTGCCCTGTTCTGGGTTGAATTGTATCCCCCCAAAAGATACCTTCAAGCCCTGACTCCCAACACCTGTGAACGTGACCTTATTTGGAAATAAGGTCTTTGCAGATACAATCAAGTTAAAGTGAGGTCATGCTGGATTAGGATGGGCCCTAATTCAGTGACTGGTGTTCTTATAAGAAGAGGGAAATTTGGACACAGTCACACACACAGTGTGTGTCTTCACAGGACAATACATGTGAAGATGGAGGCAGAGGTTGGAGTGATGTGTCTACAAGCCAAGGAGTGCTAAGGAGTGCCAGCAGCCACCAGGAGCTAGGAGAGGGGCCTGGAACGGACTCTCCCTCAGAGCCTCCAGAAGAAACCAACCCTGCCGACACCCTGACTTTGGACTTCTGGCTTCCAGAACCGTGAGCTAGTAAATTTCTGGGTTTTTTTGCTTGAGGAAGATTAGCCCTGAGCTAACATCCGTGCCAGTCTTCTTCCACTTTGTATGTGGGTCGCCACCATGGCATGGCTAACGAGTGGTGTAGGTCCACACCCAGGATCCAAACCCACGAATCTGGGCTGCCAAACCAGAGTGCACTGAACTTAACCACTACATCATGGGACTGGCCACAAATTTCTGTTGTTTTAAGCTCCCCAGTTTGTGGTAATTTGTTACGGCAGCCCAGGGAAACTAATGCAATCTCACCATAATGCGGGACAGATGAAAGACAAAGATGGGTGTCCCCATTTTACAAATCACCCTCTCACCTCACTCTTCTACTGGGTAAGAATTTCGCTATAGATTTACCTACCTTTCCTCTTTTCTTCTAATCATAGAAAAAGAGGGCCCCTTCTCCTTGAGAACAGCACTCTCATGCTCTGGATACAATCCTTACACACCCCTCACACACACACTCACATACTCACATGCACATAGTCTTACCAGTCTCCCTCTGGTATGACTCAGACCTTCCTCCCCTTTGTCAGCAAAGAGGCCCGGGTCTCCCCATTCTCAAAGGCCCGGCTGCCCTCTCTCGTGTCCTCAGGAAAGAACCACTGCCTGACACTGGGACCTCCACATGCTCATAGACAGCTTACTTCTTGATTAGTGCTTTGCAGTCCAGCTTCTGAGTACAACTTCCCACAGAAAACTGCTCTCCGCCCATTAACCTCCTGGTGCCAGCTTGGGCCTCCCCTTTACACCTCCTCTAACTCTGCCCTACTGCACCCCACCTTGTTCTCCCTCTAACCCTTGCTTCTCCCACAGCTCCTTTCTCTCCACCTTGACTCTTCATCCCTCTTGTCTCCCCACACTCCCTCCCTCCTAAACGGTAATCACTTTGGAGCTAGACAGATCTGAGCTCAGATCCCAGTGCTGACACTCACTGGCTGTGTATCCCTGGGCTAGTTACTGTTCTGAGCCTCAATTTCTGCACCTCGAAATTGGCAATAAACCTCACCCTTTGGTAGGGTAATTAGGAGAATTCGATGGCAGGCCTTATATGCAGCCTGAGCACAATGCCTGGGATCTGGCAGGCATATAACCCCCTAATGTAGTGCTTGAGCTGGCAACTTCTGCAGTCAGAAGGCCTGATTTAAATAGTGGCTTTGCATCTTATTAACTGGGTAACGTTGGGTAAACCTCTCTGTGCCTCAGTTTCCTCATCTGTAAAATAGGGGTATTCATAACAGGATGAAAGTAGTTAGTGCTCAGTCAATGGTGGGTGTCACTGTTCTTTTGGCTTCTGCTCTCTCATCCATCTAAGAGGAAGGCCTCTCTGCAGCATGTAGCAACAGTTTTTGAGCAGATGATTCCAGGTCCCTGAATGAATGGTTGTGGACTCCAGCTGAAAGACTTCCATTTCACTTGTATTTACATGGCAGGTGAGGGCAGGGGCCCCTTCTACTTGGTTCTCTGCTGTATACCCCTAGCACAGCGCCTGGCATGTGGTAGGTGCTCATAGATATTTTTTAATTAATAAGTGAATATGTAAATGAATGAACAAACTAAAGAGGTTTGCATTGAGGCCTCATTTCAAAAGTAATATCTGCTAGAAATGGAAAGATGGGGAATGAGAGCACCTGAGAAAGGAGCAGCATGAGAAGCAAAGTGAGAGAGGTTCACACAGTCTCTCAGATGCCCCAGGACGTGGGCGGCAGGTTGGGAGCTCAACAGAGGTAGCTGAACTCCACCCACTGTGGAGCAGCCACCCTTGGAGGGCTAAGTACCAGGCCCCCCACCCTCTCTTGCCTCGCCCT